AAAAGATAACCTACAATGTGGGAAAAAATTTTTAGCAGCTGTACCTCAGACAAAGGTCGACTATCTAGAATATATAAAGAACTGAAAAAAATCAGACCCCCAAATTCAAAAACCCAATTCAAAAATGGGCATCTGAAATGAACAGACATTTCTCAGACAAAGAAGTAAATGCAGCAAATAAGCATATGAAGAAATGTTCAACATCACTGATGATTCGAGAGATACAGATGAAAACAACACTGAGATTTCACCTCACCTCAGAAAGAATGGCTGCTCTGAAGAAATCAACCACTAACAAATGATGGCAGGGGTGTAGGGAGAAAGGAACCCTTCTCCATTATTGGTTGAAGTGCAGACTGGTGCAACCACCGTGGAAATCAGTATGGAGATACCTGAAACAACTAGGACTAGAGGTCCCATTTGACCCAGCTATTCCTCTGCTGGGTATCTTCCCCAAAGATTTAAAAGAATCATAGCACAGCGATATATGCGCAGCAATGTTTATAGCGGCACAGTTTGTAAATAGTTAAAGCTTGGAAATAGCACAAGTGCCCATCAACTGGAAACTGGATAAAGAAGTTGTGGTTTTTTTTATAAAATGGAGTACTACTCAGCCATAAAGAATGAGAAACTAGAGACATTTTATAGCTAAATGGATACATATTGAGGCCATACTCTTAAATGAAATAAATAGGACACACATGTGTAAATACCAAATCGTTTCTCTAGTGTGAGAAACTGAAAGTGTAAATAAGTATTAAAATGAGTAAGTGATAATTTGAAACAGAAAAAGGTTCAAAGGTGTAGGGATTTTGGAAGGGGAAGGGGAAAGGAAGGAAGGGAAAGGAAAAATTATGAGAAAAGAAAAAAAATGGAAACAAAAATCTATGTAAATAGGGAAGAGTGGAGGGAGTGAAGGACGCACAGGTAATGGGGAAAAAAACCAGAATCAAGATACATCATGTACAGGTACAAGCACTGAATGATAGATATAAACGTACTGTATACCTAAAATGTACCAATAAAAGAATTTTTAAAAAAAAAAGAAAAATTAGACTATGCTTAAAAATCTGCCAGTGAAAATAACAAGTGAAAAGGTACTCATCCACTTAATTACCTCCAAAGGCAGTGCCTTTCCATGTGCGACCTGTCACCAGTTGGAATGGACGAGTGGCGATTTCTTCACCTGAAGCAGCTACTCCAACCACCACGCTGACACCCCATCCTTTGTGGCATGCCTCAAGTGCTGCTCTCTGCACATAAAAAGACCTAATCATAGAAGCCAGTACTTTGTTCTAGATACTTCTATTGGGGTGGCAGAACTTTTCAGAAAAATGGCAACTACTATCTAAACAATGTTTAGTATGTTTAATTTTACTGAGCAAGTATATATATATTTTTCCTCCGTTAACTTTATTGGTATATTTTAGGTATGAAATACAGTTACATTCATCATTGGGATCCTGTACCATTACATGAGTCTCTTGGTTCTTATTTTTTTCCCCTTCCCTTGTCCTCCCTTAACCCCCTTCAACCTTCCCTCTTTGCAAAGACCTTGTTTCCATTTTTTTCCTCTTCTCATATTTTTTCCTTTCCCTTTTTTCCCTTCCCCTACCCCTCCCAATTCCCCTGCTCTTTTACACCTTTTCTTCTTGTTACACAATATCAGTTATACATTTTTAAAATTACAAT